CCCACTTGAATAAAAAATATTATCTTCAAGTGGGTCCCACCCTCATGTGAGAGGGTGGAAACCTTGATGTACATATTATTATGTACAAGTAGACAATTTCTTCTTTTTTTCCCTGCTTTTTGGTGATATGACTTGACTTGCACTGCAAATAGATTTAGCCAACCCTTTCCTTTTCCCTTTCCCCTTAAAGCATATAATTAAGTTCATACTTTGATATCCACATGCGGGCCGGGCCAGTGTCATTTGAGTTTGACTAAAACAATTTGCATGAACAATAATAATAAAATCACTTAAGCCTGAAGGCATTGAAATTATGGGTTGGTCACTATAAAATTCCACTTTGTATATAATAAATTGAGATTTACTTGTTGGGTCAATTGATTTGTAAGCAAATTAAGGGCATGTTTGTTTTTTATTCTCAAATTCTACAGTAAATCAATTCTCAACCACACATTCTTCAATAAAATAATATTTTCCATTACATCAATAATTTTTTCTTCATTTTCAACCACACATTTCCCATCATATCACTATTCAAAAATCAATTCTTCCCCCACAAATTCCTACCAAACAAGCACTGACTCCCAAAAATCATACAATTATGAAACTTATTAGACACTTCACACCTACATAAATTCAAATAAAAATACATCCTACTTCAATTATAAATTCACTCTAACGAAGACACATAATAAATAAAAATTAATAAGATTTCACTGCTAGAGTACTCTCAAAATATGATACATGTACACAAAATATTTACAGATAGGTTGACAGAATTGGATTTTGCACAAAAAAATACAGTTATGACAACCAATGAGGTGTTGCCAACACATCACCTGTAAAGTAGCATATCATTTTCCCTTGTACAAGTAGTGTAATTGTTGCTTCCCATTGATTAGCAAATTAATCTAGCACTAATCTAAAAATATTGAATAATGATATTTGGCACCACTTATGTTTAATATTAATCTAGGTGACAGTATTAATGAAATTAAAATAAATAAATCATATAATTTCCTTTTAATTGACTATTACATAATGTTAACATTATTCAAAAATATTAGACTATTCTATTTCTGGATCAACAGAAAAGTAAATCCCTCTTTCTGTGCGTGAAGAAAATTAGCTCTCGTTTGGTCGTCATTAAAATTATAATTCATTTTTCTCTCTTCTTATTAACCACATATTCTTCAATAAAACAACATTATAAGTAAATTCAATTTTTTAATATTTTTTAACTTCAAAAATTTTTTGTTTATGGTCTCAAATAATGACAAATAATGGTGGCCAGAGCTTAAAATATTCAAAAATGTCCTCTGGCATTTATAATTTAGCTATTATTGTTCCCTGACGGCCAATTAAAATAGTGAACTTGTTAGGTACGTATCACATGATGACTGATGGCTAGCTCACATACAGACATAATGTATGCTACTATTACACCGTAAGAGCATTTTCAATTATGGTGTAAAATTGAATGTAAATTGATATTTTTAAAATTATTTTT